GAAGACTAGCACATTTCAGATTTTTGCGTGGAAGACTAGCACATTTCAGATTTTCGCTTGGAAGAGTAGCATATTTCAGATTGTTAAGCCGCGAAAACTGCACGTCTCCGGTTTAAAGTAAATCATAAAAGCATAATATATATTGAAAATTCAAACGTTTATTCTATATTTCTTTAATTGTATTATGAAAATCATGAAATTCAGACGGTATATACCGTTTACTAATCATTTGTTGAATATCATCCACTTTTCTTTTTTTTAAAGGTATTTTTCCCTTGTAAGCTTTAGGCAATTCACAGTGTTTCATGGTTGACCATTGAACATTTTTTTTCATTAGGTTCAACTTCTCCTCGCTTTGCATAAAGTCGTATTTTACTGCCATGTCTACTTGATTTTTGCTATTTTTTATTGTAATTTTCCGTACATGTGATATCTTAATTTTTTGCCAATGAAAATATTTGGACAGTTCTTCGAAGGAAAATATTTCATTTGCGTTTGCGTTGTTGAAAATTTGTTGAGTTTTTTTAGTATTCTCCTGGGCTTTAAACTTGGGCCAATATGGATTTTTTTAAGAGAATTAACTTTATTTTAATTGAAGGTTTTTTAAGTAAATAAATAAACATAACATAAATAATATCACTTTGAAACGGGGTGCTCTTGATATGATACTGTATGTATATGTTTTTTCGTATTTATTTATAAATAAAGATTCCCCGAGAAAGACGCGAATGTCGAAAGGTGTAGGAGGAAAAATAAACGTTTATTTTACTTGTAATAACCGGCCAAAAGGCTCCATATACAACACTAAACTTTCAGCATGACCGAAGAAAAATAATTATAGTATAAACATACATATTTATGTAACTTTTTTTTTTAACGGCTGCTACAACCTTATATGAACTGCCTTGCGTATCCCTCTTCCACACAAAAATCTGAAATGTGCTAGTCTTCCAGGCAAATAACGAAATGTGCTACTCTTCCACGCAAAAATCTGAAATGTG